CTTTCAGACTATTGTGTTCTTGGTCAACGTCCCATGCACTTACCAAATATCAACCAGCTGGCAACCTTGGGAAAAACTAACGATCAGTCTCCTCATGGCCAAATTCATCACAGTACTCCAATCCGAAACCAAGTGCCAACGATGCAGACAATGATAAACCCTGGGCTCCTGTCTCCTCAGCTCAGTCCACAACTGGTGAGGCAGCAGATAGCAATGGCCCATCTGATAAACCAACAGATTGCTGTCAGCCGGCTATTGGCTCACCAGCACCCACAAGCTATCAACCAGCAGTTCTTGAATCATCCACCCATCCCTAGAGCTGTCAAACCAGAGCCATCAAATTCATCGGTGGAAGTCTCTCCAGATATTTACCAGCAAGTCAGAGATGAGCTGAAGAGAGCCAGTGTGTCTCAAGCTGTCTTTGCAAGAGTAGCATTCAACCGCACACAGGTATCAATTTCTATTCTATAACCAAGAAGTGGTGATGGGGCAAAATTGTGGCTCTTGTGGGGCTGTATGGTTCTTGCAGGTCAAGGCAGGAGGTGTGCCATAGAAACAGGTCAAAACACCTTCCATTTCTTTCCCCCAGTCTCTTTGTCACATTGAACAGGATTGTTTCTTCCTGGAACAGCTGATCATTTGTGTTTGGTCACCCCTGTGCCGTTACCTGAGGGTTGTTCTCTAGCAGTAATTCTGCTCATACGAGTTCTTCCCCGAGTTCCTCTCCATGGTTATAAACTGCTACATCTGCCCCTGCCTGATGTCCAGGAAAAGGTAACAAGATATTGTGATAGTCAGAGGTGTCTTGGGGCTTCTGTCACTTCTTCAATTCCTTCTTGTGGTACAACTGATGCCACAACTAGTGCCAGAGGCTACTGCTGCAAGAAACGTATGACACAAGTGTGCATAGGCCTACAGACTGACTGCTGGGAGAGATGTCTGCCATTTGCAGCCGATCGTGTTTGCTTTCATACATCTGACACAGGTTTTCTCACTCACCTAGTGAAATGCAGATGTTGAAATGATTGTGTGATAGTGTCAGCTTAAGCCGAGCACCTGGAGTACCCAGAGTGAATGTATGTTCAAAAAGACCATTTACACTTATCCTGCTGCCATTCAGGGCATACAAAGTATGATCTCTCAATTGTGATACTCTGTAGCAAGGCTAAAGAAATGCAAAGTGGCTTAATATTTAATATTGGCACAAATTTATTTTGTTCAATTGGGGTTGGTCTTTGAGGTAAACTTTACCAGCAAGAGAAAAAAAGGGTGGGTGGGTGGGTGTCCCTTGCCCCATACAGTGCCTTTGTCTGTTCTCCTGGATTAATGATTTTCTTTGGCACTGCCATTTTGGAAATGCCATGTTATGAGGGAACTAATTAAAGTATGGAGCACATTTTTATTACTTCCCTTCTTCCATTAAATTCATAAGATGGCTGCACTCAGAAAAAACATTCACTTCCAATCAACATGACTTTGAGTTCTGGGGTTAGCCTTGAGGATATCAAATGAAAACTACATAGGAATGTATGAGTATTTCCTCTTTAAAATGCCGCTTTTAATTTGGAAAAGCTTTTCATCCCTCTGGGATCATAACCCGTTGTATATAAAGCCTGGTATAATCAAGGTAGATGGTATTGACAGAATGACATAGTCTGAACTTGAGCGAGAGGTCAGCAGTAACATTGCCGGTGAGGGTTTTGCCACTGTCACTGCACATGAAGCTCTGCTTTAGCCAGATTGGGAGAGTTGGGTTGGTAACGCCCAAATCTGCCATTAAACCAAAAGCTCATTCCCCAACAAGAAAGCTGTCATACAGCTTGTGGGTTAAAGCGACAGTTCTGCTATAGTATTTAAAAGGAGGCAAGGTTTTGATTCTGTGTGTCTAGGAAACCCCAAGCCTTGCATACTACTGCCCAAACATTGCATACTGACTTTCCAGGACAGCAGGGAAAAGGCAAGTATGTGAGAGGGACCACTCTGGCCTCTGCCTAGCAGTGGCACAGCATTGCATCTGCCCATGGTGGTTAAGAGCAGCTATGGTAGAGACTGTGCCACACTCTTGATAGATAATCTGAAATCGGGACTCAATCAGCTGCAGTAAGGATTGGAGTTTGGGGGTGATGGTGATGATGTTTTTACACCTCCTGCAGTGTTCTGGCATAGATCTAGTGGTTTTGGGACACTAAACAGGTCTTTGGGTGAAATGTGGTTTCTTCCCAACTTCAGTGGCTCCTGGCAGTGTGACTGTGGGCCAGTCACACCTGATGGCATTTTCAAATGCCCTGTACGGCTCTAGGACACCAGGTGTGTAAACATTCAGACTGGGCTCACTCATTGGGAGCACAGATCTGAGTGGCACTGAGTGGACATGCCACGGCAATGTCCTTCGAGAAGATGCCAAGCACCTTTCCTGAGCAGGGCTGCACCTGGAAATGGGATGTGATGCTCTGTCTTCTGACCAGTTTAAGTTTGAGTTCAGTATATAGAATGGGGTCTGTAATTCAGGGTGCTAGTATCACTGGTTTTGTCAGTCTTCCTGCTGCCATTTATCTTAGGGTGCACTAACTTCTCTAGCTTTTCTTTAAAAAAAAAAAAAATCTTCCCTGATTTTGATTGCTTCATTGCAAGATATCCGATATGTAATTTTATATAAAAGGAAAGAAATTACCTACTTTTTAGCCCTCCATCATAAGTAATATGATGTACTATACAGTCCAGGACACTGATTCCATAACAGGCAAGTTTTAAACATCCATAAAAGATTTGCTCATCTCACAGCTTGTTTCATTAGTCTACAGGGCCTTAATATAGAAGACCAGTGGATTTTACATATAGTGCGTCATGTCCCTAGGAGCCATCACTGTAGCAAAAGAGTGTCGGTACATATTTATGCTTCCCTGTCCTCAGCTTTTAATCCCAACTCAAATCAAGCCCCCCTCGTGTCAGAGACTGTTCAAGGTATTAAGAAGAGGTGCCTTGCACTGCACAGTAGAAGTGGGAAGTTCCCACACACCCACGGTGAAGAAGCAAACTCTGCAAAAGGCACTTGAAGGGGAAGTTCAAGTCCACTCTCACGACCTTGCTTTCCCCCTGCTGCCTCCGAAGATCCTTTCCTCGGGAGGTGCAGAGGCGTGCGTTTCTTTCTGGAAATGTTTGGGTTTGTTGCATTTCACAGGAAGTGCCAGCCTTAGAAACTGGAGGTCTGTTGTTTCTCATGATGGTACCAAATAATAGATGCTGTATGCCAGCCAGCTAATAACTGTATTAATCACTGCATTATGGGCCACTGCTTAATCTTTCTTCGTGGTAGCTCTGTGGTGCACATTAGCCTATAATTAAGTATAGCTTCATGAAATATGTACTGTGAGGCTTGTTTAATAGATAAACTATTCTCTAATTTATTTTAAAGTCCAATGACCTACATACTCAATGCTGAAAAAACCCCTCTTACGAACATTATTTCTCCCCTGAGACCTTCCATCTAAGCAAATCTGTTAAATGAAGTAGAGGAAGCTTTGATCCAAACTAGGGTAAATCCATCGGAACAAATGGCTGACACATGTATGTATGCACGTGTGTGTGGGAAGGGGGACGTGAGGAGGGTCAGAAGAAGGAGAGGTGCAATTATATGGTTTGTGAAACATCCAGATCTTCCTCTTAAAGTTGGAAATAAGTAGCTTAAGAGAGCAATATTTGCTTATACCTGTGGCCACGCTGTCTGCACACGTGAAAACAAAGTGCCTCAGGCTCTGTGACAAACCCTGTGCATTTCCTGGGGCACAGCGCTCCCACTGAGGTCCCACTCTGAGACGGGGACTGGACATCAGGCAGCTTCGTACCTGCCATGCGCACGGGAGAGCTGCATGGGGTGTTTGGCTAGGAGCTGGCCCAGGCTGTGTTAACCATGAAGAGAGTTTCTTTCAAACAGAAAGTTCCAAAGTGAACATTTTCAGATTTATTTGAAACTGGGTATGAAGAACACTCAAAGTGTGTATGACTGATTTTTTAGTAAATGCCTTGGGCTAACCTCTGGCCCTTCTTTTTATTTTATCTTTACAGAGTCAGTGTCACAATTTCAATTCACCTTGCGGTGGAATCTAAATGCCTATTTATTCAGCAAACAGGACAGGTAGAAGAGAGTTCTCAGACCCACAGAGACAATATAGTTACTGAAGGTGGTTTTAATGACACACTTTCCAATGAGCAGGAAATTCCTACATAACTTTCAAAACATTTAAAATGGTGGTGCATGCTACCATGTTTGTCTAATCTGGGGTTGCCTACAACCTGCTCAGCAATGACAAGAGGGCTCTGTGTAGCCCTCCTTTCTCTTGTGGAAGCCGGCAGCACTGCAGTTTTTAACTCCAGGTATGATCCTCTCTTGTGCGCTGCAGTGAGTTGCTATTCAAACTTGTCAAGCAGGTGGTGTAGCCCAAGGAGCGGAGCTGGGGCTGTTCTGTCCTGTTCCAGGAACCCTGTGGAGACAGGTACGATGCAGGCAGAGAGGACAACACACAAGGGATGTTTATATCCTACGCTTAGCTGGCCACCATTTCCCTCCCTCCAACGCAACCAGGAAGCCCACTGGCTCGTGCAGGGAAGAGTGCATCAAGGGAGTGCAAAAAGCTTGCCATGACTAAGGTGATTAGCAGTTTTGCTGGAGCAGGAGGTTTAGTTTCTTGTTTGTGTAATTGCATAGTTTGTGCCCAAGTTCTTCATGGCCAAGATCCTTGGCCCTGGATCCCTTTTGCTGCTCTGATGGCCTGTGACCCATAAGTTGGAAATTTGCAGGCTCCTTGGTTTGAATGTGGTGTTTACTGAAATAGTTTGTTCCCTTTGTTCAGACTGCTGCTATGAACTAATAGCTTGCTAATGGAAAGCCAGGCATCCTTGTCTGGGTCTTAAAAACTGTGTGCAAGAGTGTGAGTGGGTTTGAATGGAAGGCAGAGAGCTGTATGAGGCCCATCAAACACTTGAGAGTTACACGGTCATACCTGATATATTTCTTTTTAAATGGAGGGCATCTTCATAAAGCATGTTGACGTGCAGCCAAGCTGTAAGCTGAAGTTGCTATTAGAACAGTCATTACTGAAAGCTTTGCTTTCTGTAAGACTTTGGCACTTTTTGATTATGTAAAACCATTCAATCTTGAGAAAAAAACAAGGAAAAGTCTGATTAATACTGCAAATGCAGAGGAGAAGCACAACTGTCAGAGACAGAGCAGATGCACCTTGCACTTGGAATTGCCCTCTGCACATTTTTAAAAGCAGTCAAAGCTTTGAAAAGGCCAGAGTGAAGGAAGTGCCTGCAAGATACAGGCTGCAGAGGGTGAGAAGGGCTTAATGCGCAGGGGGAGCAGCTGTCCCTTGTTGGTCTTGAACAGTGCGGTAAAATCAAAGTGGCTCTCAGTGCAGGCTGGACTTCTCCAAAAATGTCTACCTGGCTCA